TTTACATGGAAAGGCAGTTTCTGTGCCATTCTCTGAACATAAGGATATGTTCTGTGAAGACCAGAGGTTAAGGAATTTCAGTCTGTTCTTTGTCGTCGAGGTGGGGGAAGTCAATCCAAAGAGCTCGTGATCATCACTGGTTTACATGTGATGGTCATGCTGTGCATCTCTGACCATTAATCTTGATTACTTGCCCCAAAATTGACAATCTCCTTGGAATTGTCAATACGTCTTCTTTTGTTTAAATGCTGTGAGCTACTCAAAGCTGCTAGTTGGTTCAGGCTACAATAAATGATTAAAACGTGATAGTCTAATGTGTGGGTTAGATACATAATATGGAGTTATGCATAGAAATTATTAGTTGCTCACAAGTCCTTTTAGTGTCATTTAGATGCATATTTACATGGAAAGGCAGTTTCTGTGCCATTCTCTGAACATAAGGATATGTTCTGTGAAGACCAGAGGTTAAGGAATTTCAGTCTGTTCTTTGTCGTCGAGGTGGGGGAAGTCAATCCAAAGAGCTCGTGATCATCACTGGTTTACATGTGATGGTCATGCTGTGCATCTCTGACCATTAATCTTGATTATTTGCCCCAAAATGGACAATCTCCTTCCTGAGATGTTATGATCAGTGTGTTCTCTGTGTTAATTTTGAAAGCTGTTCTGTGAAAGTTGGTTGGTTAGGCTTGCTTCAGACTGGCTTGTGGCGCCAGGATCTGATTTACGAACATCCTGTGTCTTGGGCCTCTGTGGAATTCGGCTCCTCATGTTTCAACCATGTTCTTGACCAAATCTTAGATTGTCTGATACCCTACAATGGTATCACGCTATTGCAGGTACAGCTCTAAAATGTGTTATTTTTAAATGTCTTGGTTAAAGATGCAGTAGGAGATCTTGGAAAATGCTAACTTTAGCCTGATAGCACTGAAAGCGAACATCCCACCCTCCCTGCAATCGCCGTCCAAAGGCACGCCCCCTGAACACATATATACGCTCACAGACCAGAATACCAGAGACAACATTACTACAATACATCATGTGTCATTCCCCGGTGAGAAAACTTTATAGCACAGTTAGTAAAAGTACTACAATACCAGGAAGGAAGATCAGGTTGTTGATGTTTGTCTGCCATTCTCACTCTGTCTGCACAGCGTACATGAATGCGCTGATGACGTATCCTGTCTGCACGAACAGGGTGTGCAGATGTATGCAAATACATGTGTTGACAGGCAGGTGAAAAACCAAACAAAATGCTCGGACCGAACGTTTTGATTAGATGAACATTTCTTGGTCCACGCCTTCCACAGAATATATAAATATACATTTAGACCACTTAACTTAATGATTGCTGTCGGGATGTGAAGAGACTTTCAACCTGCTTAACAAAAAATGTTTTGATCTGCTCGCATTCTCTGATAATAATAGCTTTGTAGGACTATACATTATTTGGATAATTAGTGATAAATAAATAAATTAAAGTTATATCTGATTCTGTTGCACTGAAGTGAATACAAATAATATATATGTATATTTAATAGTAATATATTTTCTGTCAAATTGTATTGTTACTTTCAATAAAACTTGCTCAATACAACTTTCTATTTGATCGGTTTGTGTTTTTTTTTTATTCAGTATCATTCAAATTTAGTTCAATTAAAATCTCTTACAAAATTCCTTTATAATATTTAATTAAAAGAATAAATATTTATTACAAAGCATTTTCGGTTTCGGTTTTCAGCAAAATGCATCAATAATTGCCGGTTTCGGTGCATCCCTAACAATGATTTACAAAGAGACAACACTGTATTTGTAAAGCTCTGGTCTCTTCAAAGATAGAATTTGGACGACATCTGCTTCACTTTTGTAAATGCTTAAATGTGTAAATTAGTTAAAAAAATAATAAGTAAACTGATTTATTGTTGATTTTTGTTAATTTGCTTTTCCACACAGAAATTCATGTTCAGTGAAGCTCCTCCCACATCATCAATCATACATTCAGCAATTCAGCAATAAATGCTGGAATATTGTCATCAGTTCACAAGTGCAGACGAGCATCTAATCATCAGGAAGAGCTGAGTTTATTAAAGAGGACAGAGAGAAGATGAGAGATCCAGAACCCTGCAGAATCAAACACACTGAAGATACTGAAGAACTAACAGGTTGGTGATTATTCTTCATTAATTCATTAATAATGCTGAAGGTAATAAAGCTTCAAGCAGATTTGGTTTTGTTGTATCAAGAAAAATCTTTAGAGCTGTTGAATAATCTAGAGGAAGCATAAAATAATAATACTTTCTATGGTATGGGCCTATAATTCTTTTAAAATATAAAGTTTCAGTGACCTATAATTGATAAAAATTCATCAAAAAGATATATATCTATACATCAGGGTTCATTTTTATCTCCTTTCACATTTCTCTGTATTTATGACTAACTGAAAATAAACCACTTTTATTTCAGAGTTAAATGAAGAAAATGAGGAGAATGAAGAATTTAGTGAAGTTGAGGAAAGAAAGTGTGACAAAAGTAGAGAAAAACCTTTGAGTTGCTCTCAAACCAAACAGAACGATTTAAAGAAAAGAAGAGCCAAGAAATCTTTCACCTGCACTCAGTGTGGAAAGAGTTTGACAAGCAAATATAATCTTGATCTTCACATGAAAGTTCATACTGGAGAGAAACCATACACTTGTGATCAGTGCGAGAAGAGTTTCTCACAATCATCAAGCCTTAAGAGACACATTAATATTCACACTGGAGAGAAACTGTACACATGTGATCAATGCGGGAAAACGTTTTTGTGGGCTTCAAACCTGAATAATCACCTGAGAGTTCATACAAAGGAGAAGCCACATTCATGTTATTTGTGTAGAAAGAGCTTTTCACATCTACAAAGTTTGAAATTACATCAGAAAATACATACTGGTGTGAGAGAGTACATGTGCTTTGAGTGTGAAAAGACTTTTACTACAGCGCAGCATTTAAAACTGCATGAGAGGATTCACTCTGGAGAGAAACCGTACAAGTGTTCACACTGTGACAAGAGATTCAGTCAGTCAGTAGACCTAAAAACACATGAGAGGATTCACACTGGAGAGAAACCTTACAAGTGTTCACACTGTCACAAGAGATTCAGTCATTCATCAAATCTGAAAACACATGAGATGATCCACACTGGAGAGAAACCTTACAAGTGTTCACACTGTGACAAGAGATTCAGTCAGTCTTCAAATCTGAACACACATGAGAGGATTCA